CCGCCAGTCAGCGCTGGCGGATCGGAGCGGGGAGGGGGAATCCAGCCCCTCCTCTGTCACAGAAGAGAGCCGTGACCGGATTGAGAGGTGAGCGAACGCCGGTATATGTTCGCTCACCTCCCGATCTACTGAGCCGACCTGTGACAGTCTCATTGTCACAGGTCGGCTAGAACTATGAGGTGAGTGAAAATCACTCACCTCATAGTTCTCCTTTAATAATTTATCTCTAATGAATACACAGAATTCAACTTACATACACCATGGTCAACATCAATCATGAACAGTTGAAAGGAATATTTTATACGATTTAGGCAAATAATTTAACTATTTTAATAATTTTAAAAGCTCCACTAGAAGGATAGGAAGTGGAGTCAGATTGGCTGGTAATGTCTTTAAAGTGCACTCATACTAAAAAACTTGACTGTCTAACAGGGATTCATTAGCACAGTTAATATGACAAAGCAAATAAAGAAAAATATATATTTAGTATAAATATGGAGTGGCAGAACACTGCTGTCTTTATGACAGTGTCTAGGCACCCTCTGCTCATCTAGCCCATAGGTTCCTGCCAGGACTTTGTAATCTTCTGAGACATATCCCACCCTCCACTGCCTATGATTTCTGAATTACATTAATGGTGTAACCAGGAGACTAGAAACTAGGGACTAGGGTCTAGAAACAGAAAGAACTGTCTGGTGATAGCTTGCACCTCCTAATATGGCAGCTGCCTTGCAGACACACAACGCTGAGTAATGCACAACTAAGAGCAGACCAAAGACTAGACAAAAGAGTAGCTGCAGAATGCGTACCGTAAATGTTATATCATTAAAATGTACTTATCTAACACACTATGAGAATAGAATGGTTGCCTGAATCTAGGTCACATTAACAAGAAGCGTTTGTACATGGCAGTCTTTCTAAAACAGTAATCTCTAACAGGACTGTCTTACTAAAACGGTAATCTCTAACATGACAGAATCTTTGTTAAAAATTAAGCACTATTATAATTATGGAGCATTCTTTGGATCCAAAACTATCTGTCCTAGACCAGGTGCATACACCAAATATTACACTAAGCTTCTAGTTTTTTGGTGAGCAGGAGATGCTTTTACACTTATGAAATAAGCACTGTACACTTCTAGAGAAAGAGATGGTGCATTGGGTCTCCAAGGAACCGGATGCTTCTCATTCCTTGTAAATCCTCCATACACCCAATTAGATTTAATAAGGATCCCACCTTAACTTCAGGAGGTTATGGGACAAGAATCTCAATTCCCTTTGACAACAGTGGTCTTTACTTATTTTAACCCTCTGCCAGCAAGAAGTACCAAAACCTTTTACCAATAGTGTTAACTTATCTTTCATAGCATCATAAACAAAAAGTGTTGCATTTTTGTTAAGGCCCATTGTTTTACTTATACTTTGTGATCAATTCCTTCTTTGAAACCACTAACCATTGAAAATAGATCGATGCTCACAACTGATATCCCCCCTACCCTTTATGAATTTACTTGCCCGTTTGTGTGCCCTATAAACGCATACACATTGTATGCATATACAATGTAAAGAGCTGTTCAAATGTCATGTATTCCTGAATTCTAGACAGTCAATGCTGACATCTTAGAGATTCTCATGCTGCATTTTTTTAGAGAGCTAGTATCAAACTTAGCTGATGAGGTTAAAAAAAAACATTTGTCTATCGTGTTCAACACTGCCAAAAATGACCCTTGCATGCTACACTCCAGTTGTGATCCAAAGAAATGTAATCAATCACCTAAATACACTACCTCAGTTTCTGCTAATGACACAAAAGTTTGAAGATAAACTGGTACCATGTACAATGTGCAAAATGTACAAGCATAACTAGATGCAATGGGAGTGATTTATTAAAGCAGTAGAGACTGTTCACTTTGCAAAGTGAATATTTATTTAGCTTAGTGAATAGGGTAAAGCCATTTTATGCATACTCAGTGATGTAAAAAAAACAAGATTTGTGTTTGCACATGATTGAATGAATAAAGCAATTACAGGTTTATTGTATTTGTTAAGCAAAGTGAAGATTTACATTGGTGAGTAAACATACTCCATTAGTAAACAAGAACAAAAAAATAGAAAAGTTATGCAAAATCTTATTCCATTTAAAAGATTTTTAAAACCATAAGCAGCATACCTCTTTTTTATACAAAATAATGCTCCAAACTGCAAACCCCTCTGTCTCCTTATTCTTCTTCGTTGTCCCAAATGTGTTATACTGAATTAAATGTTTAAACCAACCTCTAAATGATTACATATGGTTTTGTAAAAAAAATAAAAAAAAATTTTAAGGACAAACTGTGGCGATTAAAAGCATTTTTTATGTATTACTTCCTACTGGTCCTCACGTGTGTGTGCTGTGTACTAAAGGTGTTTCTCTTTTCCATTTTAGAAAGGTGTAAGGTGTGCACAAAGCGAGGCTCTTTGCGGGGAAAAATATGTTTGTGTACTGAGAGAAGACATATTCTATTGAGAAACTGATATACAGCAACTGATATACAGCAATATAATATATAGCTACAAATATATGTTTATTAGTGCAGTGGAAGTTTAGATGACAGTTTTATCTGAATCTTAAGTTAACTATGTGTAGCTTTTATCCCAGAATGACT